GGGGCCGGTTATGTATTTGATTTTTGGGTGGAAGGGAAGGAGGAAGCACACTATCACGAAAAATATTACTTTAATACTATATAGACTTCTTGACTGTCTTTATACCATCAGAAAAATAAGAATCTCAATTTTTTTAATGATTTATTATTTATTAAAAGTATAAAAACTACATTGTAATAAACAATTTTTTTATTAGAGTCACTCAAAATTCATCACATATTTTCTTAAAAGAATAAACCTATTTTATAAATATAAAATTTTAAATTATCGCATAAGCAACATTCTCAGAGTCACGACAAGTTTTCGGAAACCCCCAGCATTAAAACATATCCATGTTAAAAATAACAATCTTTAACAATGGTATTTTTCATTTCGGAAGGAGCCCGAGTCCCCACACTCCCCCATAAATACGCGCCTAATTATGTTGTTAGAATTAAAAAAACAACTTTAACGAAATCCCATTAATAAGTTATGGTTTTCGGTAATTATTTATCATTATATACGATTAATGTTATTTAATAATTTTTTTTTTTTTTAGTTTTTATTAATTGTTTTCATCATTTGAAAATAATTAGCGATAGTTGAGTGAAATTTATTTATAATTCAAGAGTATGTTTTATACCTATATCTATAATTATTAGCAACTGTGCATTGCTATTATTTCATTTTGAATTCTGTAACTATGTAATACGTTTAACATGTTACACATTTTTTGATGTCCAAAATCATAACTTGTAGGAACGTACACAGTGAGTTTTGATGCAGGCGTAATAGGTATTTATTTTATTTCTGATTGATTGAATTTAGTTGGTTAAATGATGTTGTTCTGAACATTAGCCGAAAAATCATTTCAGTTACGTCTGCTTATCTAGTGCCTTTTAAATTAATTACAGAACAAATAAATGAATCGTCACTGTTTAATTCGATCATACTGAATATTGCGGATAAAATTTATAATTGTTTCGTAGGCTAATGCAGTTGGTGTGTTTAGATCAGAATGGAGGGATTTATTGAAGACGCAGGATGGTATTTTTAAAATAATACAAAGAATTTTCAATTGAAATCTTTGAATACAGTTAGTATTGGACATTTTTGCAGTGCTTCAGATCTGCATACCTGAATTGGTTACAGTAGTGGTTTGTATATTAATGATTTGTTATGTAGTTTTATATGTACTTTTGAAAGTTAACAATGTTCGAAAAATGCGAAGGTGGTTATTTAGTGCATGTGTAATCTGGAATGGAATGGAGATAAAAATTAATGTTACTCATTTAAAAACAAAACATCCTAACTAATATAAGTATTTATGAATACCTATACAAAATAAATATATAATTATTCAATCGAAACGTTTATTAATCACTGTAAGTATATTTAAGGTTATTAAAATATGGTATTTTAATCACTAAAAGGAACGATTTATTTGGTTGTCAACACCATACATTTTTCCGAAAAGCTAATAACATCTGTTGAAGTTGATTATTCAGGAGAAATTAATGATGATATGACTTATTACGTGAACCAAATATTGTTCAAACTCCACAGAAAATAGCAATAATAGTTTATCAGTTGCATTTTATATATTAAATACTAATATGAATTATATTATTAACCTAATTCTCAGCTGTATATGGGGTGTGAACTATAAAATCAAGAATTTCAGACGGTTAACAAGAATCCAGTGTAGTATACAATAAGTAAGAAATAAAAAACATCATATTTTGACTCTTTTCATTAGAGTTATGTATGGTATATAAACGTTTTTATTATGGAATTGTACCAATGATAAAGTCTTCGTGGTGGCAAAAAAAACAAATTCATTTTAATTGACATATTATTTCATCGCTGATGTCTTATAATTCCTACCTAAATAATCAGAATATTGTTAAACATTGAAGTGTTTTCTTTTTTTTTCTAACACGTAAGTATTGAATACCAGAACAACATTATAAATTATTATTAATCGGATAGCGAAAAAGTTATAATTTTTTCAAATTAATTCCAATATTTTGTAGTGTATTTGAAACGTAAACGTTAAATAGTATTATATTAGTAATTGAGGTGTATTAAATGAAAATAGTTATAGCCTGTATAGTACTATAGTATTAGTTTTTAGAGTCAAATTTATAAAGGAAAATCTCTTCAGAAATTTTTATTTCTTTGTAGGTACTTAGCTTTATAATCTCATAGTAGTGTTTCGTATTTATAATCTGTTATTCAATTTATTCACTCGTAAAATAAACCATTGTTGGGTATATCATTATTGATTTTAAAAATAGTTGTGGCCTGTAAAGCCATCTACATGATACAGAACATAACTTGATTATAATGTTGGAATATACAACATAATTTAATTTACATAATAAGTATATTTTTTTTCTAAAACATAGCTTATAAATATTTTGTGCTTCATTTCAAGCTTTTTTTTTAATCTTCTTAGTATTTATACTCATATTTTTATGTTATGGTATTTAATTTTATTGGTAATAGGTCATCTAAATTTAAATTAAATTAGATTTTTTTCTTTAAAAACTATTTAGGGTTTGATATTTAAACGATAGTTGAAAGGTTGGGTGGAATAACCAGGCACATCTGTTTATCCAATATTTAGAGGAGAGTGTTAATATTAATTAATAATTTATTAACCGTGTTCAAACGATATAATAGTATTAGAATTTTAAGTGAAAGAAATTATTAAAGAAATTCGATTTATAGTAATATATCATCCTAAGTGTATTCCAATTCCAGAAATAAACTTTTGTGTTAACTTCAATCTAGTTCAAAGAATTGATAAGATAAATATTAGTAAATGAGACGATTTTGAACATTTTTCAACTGAAAATAAAGAAATATTTGAGGGTTTAGGTATTTTTCCAGATATAGTTCAGATTATATAAAGCGATAAAGTAATCCCTAAAGCAAATCTTTCACGTAGAGTTGCACTAGCACATAAGCAATGTTTAGAACAAACCTTTTTGATATAAAGATCTTACTAGAAAAATATTTTTGACCCAGTCAATGAGCCGTTGGAATGGGTTAATAACATAGTAATGGTAGAAAAACCAAGCCTGGGCATTAACGAGTTAATAAGTTAAAAGTTAAGTTAATTTAACTTATTAACTTAACTTATTTCATTACTGATGAATTAACTTAACTCATTTCCTTACAGATTAACTTGAAATTAACATATTATTTTTTCATTTATCCAAATTTAGTTAATTTTCATTTTCAAGACCAGAAAAATATTTTTATAAAATATCGCATTCGATAACAAGTTCATGGAATTTAGAAAAATATAAAAATAAAAAGGTCAAAGAATTTTTAGATCAGACCATAATATTTATCTCGGTATTATCAAATAATAGGTGTCCCACCAGTCTCGTGAAAAGTTCTCAATCGTTTTCAGACTATTGAGTAAAAATAGCCTTGCTACTCATGAATTACACTACTATTGTCATGAAAAGTAGTCGTAAACCTATATTACAAAAATAGATATATATTATCATTGACTAAATAACTCTTAATAATAATTGTACTCTATTATTATTAGAATTATTCCATAATCTAAAATATTATTAAATAAGAATGATATTATTAAATATTATTGAATAAGAGAAGAAATGTAATGCATTAACTTAATTGTTAACTTAATTTAACATAAACTAAATTAACTTAACTGAGTTTAAAAATATCATTAACTTGCCCAGTCTTGAGAAAAACCAAACTGAACGCTCAGAATTTGTATATATCCAATTGAACTTGAGTTATAATATAATATAGTGCGTGCATTTTAACCAATACTAACCATAGAGAAAATAAAACAAGGGTTAATTTATAAAAGTTTTTTTTGTGATTTATCTTCAAAAATAGGTTTCATCAAATTAAGTAGCACAAAGAATCGAGTAAATATTGCACATTTAATTGTCCATTTGGATGTTATGAGTTATTGAAAGCACCATTTGAACTGTCAAAAATACCAGAAATATTTCAAAATTAACGTATAAACTATTTTAGTGACATTAAAAATGTAAATATTTACTTCAATGGCATAATTCGCGCTACTAATACTAAAGAAGAAATGGATAAAATGGCAAAATAAGTTCTTGAGAGGACTAAAAAAAAAAAAAAATATATAAAACGTAATACAAAAAAACTACAATTTTATCAAAATAAAGTCAAATATTTTGAATTATTATTTTTAAAAGATGGTATGAAACCAGATTAAAATCGTGTGGCTGTAATAAAATAATCAAAAATACTAAATATATTATAATATAAAAAAATTATTACAATTAAAATTCCTCTGAAATAGAAAAATATTTCAACGTGGATAAAAAAATATTTGTACAAAATTATAAAAATAATTTTTGGGAAAAATGTAAAATAGTTGAAAAGACTCTAGATATTATAGGATATAATTATAAAATGGTAACACTTTTTTTTATAAATAAGCGTAATAAATATAAAGAAAATAAAGGATTGGATATATGATGTTTGTGGATAAATGAAAACCTAAAATGGTCAACGAAAATGGTAAAATACCAACACTCATAGCAATGATAACGAAATCAAAGGAAGTAATGAGAAAAACAGTGAGATTTCATGAGTAACACCAAAAGACATATGTCTAGTAATATAAAGAATAGTTTTAGTTAAGAAAAGAGAAAGATTTGATGTTAATAATTTTGAAAAATTGATATTATACAGATATTCAATACTATTTACTTATGTTATGTTATAATTTTATATTTATTTCTGTTCTTATGCTGATAACTTAAAATTGTTTAATATCGTTATTTGTTACGTTTATAATTAAAATATTATTTAGTATATACTAAGTTTAAAAATTAAGCGATGATTGATAACAAATCTATAACAAAATAACCTCAATGTAAAAATAATTAAACAAGACACATGTACTTCTTGGTTTGATAAAATTAATTATTATAAAATAAATTATAATTAATTAAAAAACATCTATTAATAGTATATTTACTTACATAAGTAGTTCGTTTTTTACATTTATCGGATGAAGCAAATATGTTGAAATGATTACTTCCTGGCGGCAATGGACATTGATCAATGTCAACCCTTCTCAAATCAATGTCAATTCCACTGGTCCCTCTAAGAAAAAATATTATAAATATAAATACATAACATTAAAATAATTAAACAACTAAAATACACTTAATTATATTGTGTGCGTATTAAATCAAGCCAAATCATCTTCCGACGAGACACGAAACTGTACAAAACACCGGTACCAAAATCATTAATATCAAAATGTTATTGTCTTGGACATTATTCGTAATAAAGCCAAGATACGTGAGTATTTCCGTGTATCATTAATGGATGTCCAGCTTAATATTCGGTAAATTTATCGCTGTATACACATAGCACTCGGAATCATGCCAGGCGCACAAAGATTTTCTCAAACATAAATGATTTATGAAAGTCCTTGAAGATTTTAGAATGATAATGGTATAAGAAGTAATACCAATCGTTAAACAACACATAACGTGGACAGGTTGTTATAAGATTTACAAGATTAAGTGCTTTAAAACGAGTTAGTGTGGAGTTTTAGGCTACAGAAGTTTTTGCAAAAATCTAATTAACATTGTTCTTAAATGATAGTGATTGTAAACAACCTTTTTTTTCTGACTTTAAATATTTTCTATTTCTTTATAAATAGAATTGCAATCAAGTTATTTTGCACAGAATAACTTTGATATATCTATCAATAAATTATTATTAGAGTTATTAATACGAGAACAATTTGAGTGTTTTAAAATTTAACGTTTCAAGTTCAAGTTTAAATATATTTGTAAATATATAATAAGCTTTATTATGCTATTAGATTTTATATGATTTATAATTTATTTTTATTTTTATTTTTTAATGTTAGTGATTATACTTACATTCTTTATAAGGTTCATATTATTAATTGAACTTGTAATTTATTACTTTTGAACAGATGAATAAAATATATATCGGTAGACTCTTGGATATTTAAATATTATCCCACTTAATGAATATAGTTATATAGACTTGTTAATTTATGCAAAAACCAATTTAATTCAATCCAATTGTTTGCTCATTTTTTTAAAAATATCCTATGCTTAATTTAAAAATCTCTTCAATATTATTTTATATTTTCAACTGGTTTGAATGTATACATAATATTATAATATAACTTCTAATTAATCATTTATTATAATAAAATTACGAGTTAGTTGATAGTAAGAAAGATAACTTAAAACTCATAATTTGAAAACCATGGTAACGAAACAAAACTGAATTAAGTTAGAGAACAAAAAAATTAATAAATATTAATAACAACATAGGACGAAATATAATTATATTAAGGTAGTACAACATATCTGACTGATTATGATAACAGTATGATAAAATATATTATTAAATAGTTATTTTATTATCAAAGAAGTAAAAATAACTAATTTTCTATTGGAATTTATGAGTTTAGTAAATTTTTTCTTGAATGTTTTTTCGTGAACGCGTGTGATAAATAATACGTTGTATGTACAAATTGTTATTACGTAATTTACTTTAATTATACGAATGTGTCTAAAATAATACTGTACCAGAAATGAACACACGCGTATTTATGAGAAATTAAATGTTTTTCGAAAAACGGTTATTTTGATAGCATATACTAAAAAATAAATATGTAAGTAGTTGTGTAGAATTAAAATAAAAGTACAATATATTAACAATTTTAAAATACAATTTTATAGTACATATATGGTAAAAAAAAGGCAGGAAAATATTTCAAATTTGATATTCGGTGCAATGTAGTATATGAAAAGCAATTCAATAAAAAATTAAATGTCCTCTACCTTAAGTAACTCTATATAATTTTAGAAAATGTAATATGTATTTTAAAATAAATAATAGCTAGTTTGACATTAATTTTTTTTTACGTTATCATGTTCAGAAGATAAAATTAAAAATAAGTTTCAAATCAAAACTCAATAAATTATTTATCAATAAAAATGTGAAAAAAAGTAAATTGAAATTCGTTTTTAGATTATATGGTCTAGATTTAGAAGAATTCAAATATAAAAAAAATGTTTAGCAATAAATGAGTGATAACTTTAAAAATGTACTTTTGTTACTAATTTACACAAATTATTTTTTATTAGATAAAAACAACATATTTTAATATGATTTTATTTGAAACAATCAATATGCTAATATGAAAGAATCAATTTTATATATAAAACCAAGATATAAGAATGGTAATAATATTTTATAGTGTTTTATAAAACATATATTTAAAATTATTTGGTAAACTTAATGAAATTATCAGTATTTTCAAGGAAAAGCAACAAATACATTTATAATCAGAGATCAAAGCATAGCATCAAAATTCAAACTTAACTTTTAGATTTCATGTGTAAATGTCAATGAGTTTAATTGCTTTCCACTTTTGATGGAATTTCTAAAACAAAATTAATTTCAACTAAAATAGGGAAAACCATAATTTAATATTTGGAAAATCTTAAAAAAATCATTGTAAATGCACTTAGCTGATAATATTAATAACAATGATTAAATACAAAATACATTTATGAAAAAAAAACTTGTGTCGAATATAAAAACCTTATGAAAATATGAAGTACGTGTTCCTTTAAGCATACATTTAAATCCGAATTTTGGAATTGTCTTAGGAACAAATACCCGTCTAGACTAATGAATAAAACTTTATACAAATAAAAATCCTAAATCTTAAAACTATCTTAAGTCAAAAAATTAAACAGTTTCATTCTTCACATTAGAAATATTAAAAAAAAAATATTTATTATAAATTTTTACTAATTATAATTTGATAAAAATTAAAGTATTTAATTATTAAACAGTTAAATAATACATTTTTGGCACAAACGTTTTGTATGAATATTGATTTTTTTATAAGCCAAAGTAAAAAGTAATAATCATAAACAATATCTTTAGAACATTTTTTGAATATTGGTTTTTTAACTAATAATTAAAAATGAATTATAAAAATTTAGAAAAGGAGAAGTTGGTGTTCTGAATACAAAATATTTTCTAATGATGCCGTGGTTGTTTACGTTTGGCAACATTTCATTAATAAATATAAAGCATACTGTTCCACATATTATTATAGCAACTGATAATATAAAATTATTGGATTAAAAAAAAGGAAATAAAAAAGGATTGATATTCCCCTTCAAATTAGTCATATCAAAATAAAAAAAAAAAAAACTAAAATGTCGCTATAAGTTTATTAAAAATATATTAATGCTAAATATTGTTAACAGTACGTCAATTTATTATGAACTACAGTATGTGTTCCGCAATTGTTTGGCCAATTGAATCGAAATACTGTAAAACAACGCGTTTGAACTTAGAGAGATACATGTTACAGATATTATTGAGAATGACAGTGGGCTTAGACTAGGTAAATTAGAAATAATCAAATTGAAAAAAAGTGTTAAATTTTAATGAAAATGTTTATCGTTAAGTTTTAATTAAGTTTAGTTTACACTTAATAAAAATTTAATAAAATTTCTCGAAGGTGAATTTACCATAATATGTAGCACTACTGGAGCGCACTTTTTGTCAACATAAATTGTTGTCATATTTTTATGATTGGTAGGAAAAAATAGTCCAGCAGCATATTATAAAGAAGCGATTATATACAAAAGTGAATTTATGCATATTTTTTATTTTGCAGAAAATATTAAAGACAAGTGATAGATATTACAGACCTATGAACAAATATCAATGAACAAAATATAATCGGTAATAATGTTTAAGGACCAATAACGGAAATATAAATAATCGAATAACATATAAAAGCGTAAAAATAGAAAAAAAATTTGTAAACAAATGGGGAATTATATTTTAGGCTAACGTATTGGCCAAACGGGATAAGGCAGTTGTATATATATATATATATATAAAAAATAAAATTAATAATAAATCCACAGTTGCCAGTCCAAAATCTGTCACAGATGGTTTCCCTTTCTGAACTGGACGACCAAAACAGTGGCTCCTATTTTTTTTTCTTCCATAACCCTAAACTTAATATTTTGCTAGATGTACCACTCATTATAATTATTAAACTTTTTTTCATACATTTTTTATTAAATTTAAATAAAAAATAGCAATAATATAATTCAGTGTAATAATGAATATATATTTGTATTTTATAATAATACGCAATTAAAATAAATAAGACAATTATGTTGTTTAATGAATAAAAAAAAATTCAATTTAAAAATGTAATGAAATCTTTGATTTTGTTTAAAACAAAATAGATTTTTCAAATCAGATTTAAATGATACAAGGTATAATCATACATATGGAACTGCGTTTAATTTATTTCTTTGCAAGTACGTATTATTTTTTAGAAAAGTGTTTTATACATTCGACGACATTCTTTACTCCGTTTTCATTTGATAATTTTTTGTTAATTTTCACTTTTATTAACGTATTTGTATATTTGTGTATTTGTATATTTCATATTGTATATTTTGTATATTGTATTTGTATATTTGTGTATTTGTATATATTTGTATATTTGTATATTTGTGTATTTCAAATATGAATCGTTTTAAACAAAAAAAAAATATAAACGTATTTTCGCCTTTTTTTTTCCGCGTACCCCAGGTTGGAAACCATTGAACCAGAGAAAAAAAACTTCCAAGGCCTTCATTCATAATGTGTACTGCACAAACAAAAACTCCAAAGATAAAATTGCTCCGCAAAAAATCATCCAACTTCCAATATTCTGAGTGACAAAATATAATTTATCAACATTAAGAAATAGTGCACGAATTATAGTATTTAAAAACCTATGATTTCGAGAAAATATTTTGGACGTCCAGCAGTGCATTACAAACATGCATATATCATATAATTTGATTAAACATTTTTTTTTTTTTTTATGAAAATACTTTTTAAAGACATTTTACTGCAAAAAACAGTCTTTAAAATAAGGTTGTGTTTTCTATTTTTAATAATCCCTTATATTATTCAATATGTAATGTGTATTATAACACAACTTTGACTGCGTTAATTTAACATCTCGTTCCACTCCAATCAGTTCATATGACCACCACCGTCATAAATTTTAACATTGAATATGAAATATTAAGTGATAAAAATTTATAAATTGAACATTTTGACTTAATAAAAATAAAATTGATTTTTACAGCAGTCATGTATATTAAAATTTCTATTTAAAATTATAGAATATTATTTCTATAACTCTGTTTACGTATCATCGTCGGTAAATTCATTAGAATAATGATAGTTACGTGATAAATTAAAATAGCCCTAGTATTTCGACAATGCGTTTGTTGTATAAAGTTAACGTTAATTATAATTTTAATAATTAAATAAAAAAAAATCCATTCATGTTTAGCACAAAGTAAGAAGCATAAAATTTTTATCTTAATAAAATAAAAAATAAACAGAAACAATACGAAATAGTTAAATCAATCAAGTTGGTTTACTATTTAAGTATACAACTTCAAACACAGTTTTATACAAATAGATAAACTAACAAAAATTACTTCAGTTGTATGACAAACTTTTGAAGACATTTTGTTTATTAGAAAATACTATACAATAATTAATTATGAGGATTAAGGAATATTATTAATCACCAATAAGTTATGATAACTTTTTGTAAATCGAAAGTATAAGCCGAATAAGTTTACTGAATTTATTTTTTTACATTATTTTTATTTAAAGAAATAATGAATAGTACACAAATTTATATCGTTATTATTGAAACAATAATTACCATTCCTAGTTTTATTAACTACAAATATATTAGTTCTCCGTATTTAAATATGCAATTATAAAAAAAAGTTCGGATAGTATTTACTTTTTTTTATTGTATTAGTCTGAAACAAAGCTATGTTAGCTAAACATACTATATATTTGATTTGTTCTACAAATGAAATAATCAAAAATGTATTTTGAGCTTTTAGTTATTTACATTGAGTTGATTTTTTGTTTTCTTTTTTACAACAATTTTATAAAATGTGTTTAAGATATACATATTGTAATATTTCAAAGATCGATATATATTTTTATAATGCGTTTCGTTAAATGGTATCAGATCAATCAGCTTTATCACACGATGTATGATTTAATGAATTAATTAAAAGATATGAACTCCATATTATTTTCAGCCTAATGAACATTTGTAATTTTCTGGCTGTTAACATATAATTTTTAAATATTTTTTTCTATTTAATGTATGATTTCGAATTTTAAAATAACATTAACCACTTTTATTTTATCATATTAGTTTCTACGTATATATAAAATAATTATAATAGAACAAGTTTAATACAACTAAATACAAATCTTAATATTAAATTCTAAGTGAAATGAGAAATTGATTTTACCTCAATATGTGGTGTTTTATGTTTGAGTATACGATTTTAACTAAAAATAATGTCTCGATCATCTTTATCATAAGAAAATTTTGATAGAAAATTTTTTTTATTGTTTTTTTTTTTTAAAGTAATTTTAAAAATTTCCCATTAGTTTGTCCAATACTTATAAAACACTAGCTAAAAGTACACAGTAATTTTTTTTTTTTATTGGGAACATCAATACATCAACATTTCAAAATTATATTTCTCAATCGATTTGTTTTAAAATTAATTTCATCAGGAATGATAATTCGTGAAAATGTTATCCATACCATTCCAAAATGTATTTGTGCTATCCTGATATAAACATTTATAATTGTGTTGCCCCCAACATCATTTTGGTATTTTTTTTAAACATCTCTGTGGTAATTTTAAATCATACGTCGAAAGTTTCACGAATCATTTTTGATTTATGCCAAACGTTGCAAGTTATTTTGGCGAATGTTTTTGTATGCAAAAAAATATTTTTTATTATATCGCAATATACACCTTCGTATATTTATTCCATTTTTTCTTTGACCTTACTTTTCTCATAAATATGTATAGGTCAGCAAATTTTGTCTTCATTTTCCGTATGGTCGTATGGTTTTATCCACTTTGTCCATTCGTACTTAGTGCTGTTCATCAAGTTCTCCTCAATACCTCTATATTTTATTACAATTGATCCTATTTAATCAACCATAACAAACTGACCCACTTTATCATCACCCATCATCGAATGATACTTAATGCCATCAATTACTTGTTCGAATTCTCCAAAACCTTAATCAATTACCTTTATAACACTCCTAACCCTCTATAGTCCTTTTACCTTAAATGTGGCTTTCCGATCTTCAAGTATCTCAATTAGTTATCCGGGCTTTCTCCCACTAGAAATACACCAGATATTACAGTAATTATATTGTATTTTTATTCAATATTTAATGCAATTAACTAAAGTACACATATACAAGAGTCTATATTTTCAAGTTAAATAGTATTATTTTATAAATAAATGTAATTTTGACTTATAAATTAAATACCCACACACAAAATAAATAATATTATCATTAAAATATCGAAATGAAAAAAAACTTAAAAATTTGATTGATCGTGGTCCTAACAAGTTATCTGGCACAGCATATTTCTTTAAACCTCAAACGAAAAAAACACAATTTCATGTTAGATATATTTGTATTATTTTTAAGTTGTGTATGATTTAAGCAAATTATACATTATTTTGTGAATACTATCCGTTATACAATGAAAAATAACTATACATTTCGAGCTCGTAGAGTTTTTATGAGACACGTTGGACATTTTTCTAATTTAGGTTGGTGTCGTGGCCGAATGTATGAGGATATTACACGTATGGTTGCCGATGTTTACGCTTTCTTGACGGAAACATCCTTCTGAGAAAAAAAATCATTATAACCCTCAAGTGTACTGTTCCAAATACTAGCTCTGATACAAAACTGTCTCGGAATGTTAACCCTTTAGTACCACTATCATATTAGATACTACACGATAAGTACATGGCGCTAGACAGGTCCCTAGACCCAGTCCTACACGTCGATCCGTATCTGTGGTGTTTATTCTTAAAGTAAACACTATTTGTACAAATTTGACCTGCATTTTAGTGATGTCACACAATTGTACGTTTAGCGTATTGCGAAACGAGTACTTGGCAAAACGGGCCATGATTTTTCCAGTTTCAGTGCGAAATGACAAAATCTAAAATAGAATATTTATATTTATATAGAATCAGAAATAGAAATGCCCGTCGCTATGCAACAACACGGAAAACTAAATAAATAAAATAAAAACTAAAACAAACATTTTTTTTAGTAACTATTTTTCGTACTTTTTTCATTGGATAGCTCATCTGTACACCGAGTACTTGTATTTATAAAAAAAAAACAGCTATAAAAAGTCCAGTAGAACGTAAAATATAATTGTCCCCAAAAATCGCTTGACGTTTTAATAATATATGATTATTATGTAAACGAGATTTAGGTTTCATAAGAATTAATATTTTTTGAGAATTTAATTAGATATTTAATGCTTATTTGTTCAATTTATTTTGTTTCATTTAATGTTTTCCCATATATTGTACTTCAGTACAATATAACTTAAATCTTCAACCAAATCAGATACGTTTTAGAAAAAATACAATACATCGTAACTGAAAATGGCATGTAAAATGATAACAATGGTTTATGGCTAGTACAATATTGTTCTGTTCAATATTTTTCCAAATATACAAAGCAATTCAAGTAGCCATTCAATATTAAACCAATTCCTTCAAACTTTATTTGTTTTATACTTATATTGATGATATATAGAGTTGTTAAGAAAAAAAATCGTTGAACATAACTTCTTTCATTTAGTCATAATAATTTGTCTTGTATAATTCAATCATTCAATATATTATGTTAAACAATATATTATCAAATTTAATTTAATAACTACCTATACAATTATTTATGTACAACTAACTAATTTATAACCTAATACATTAAAAGAGTAATATAATATTGGAAATCGTAATAATTTTTATAGTATTGATAATAATGACTTTTATTCAAGGATTTTGTTTATTTTCTATTTAAATAACGTGAAGTAATGCAATACATTAATAAAAATAAATAAGTTTAATTTTTAATAAACTTACTTTTTATTATATTCCATATTATATATTAATATATATATATATTCTGACCACATTATGTCTGCACAATTTTATTTCTATATAAAATTGAATCTTTAGAAGAACGACATGTCGTATGTTGAATCCCTAAGTATATAGACCAGTGATGTCCAACCTTTTTTCCTTGGTGGGCCACTTTGGTAAACTATTATCTTAGAGCGGGCTACCAAATATAAAAGTACGAATAATATCAATATTAATCTAACAGTGGCGTAGCCATGAATTTTGTATGTGGGGCTAAGTCTCACAAAAAAATTCAAAAAATACAAGTACAATATTTCTTTTATTTACACTTTTTAAAATATTTATAATAAATTAAGCAACAAAAAACTTTATATATTGTTAAACAGTTTTATTTATTTATGATGGCTCCAATTTTTTAACTGCATCCTTCGTGGGGCGTTTTGAGCAAAAACTTGAATGACATATGTTTCCTTCACAAGTTCTTTTTTATTTATATTTGCCATTGCTAAACCATTTAACCTTTTCTACATCATTGTTGATCTTAAGTATGTTTTCATTCTTGACAAGGTGGAAAATGTTCTTTCTGGAGTTGCAGAAGTTACAGGCAAGGTTGCAAACAACTGTAACAATAATTTAATGTTAGGTACAAGGTTAGTAAAGTGGGACATTGATTCAATAGCTGAGACTGGCTTTGGTATGTTGTTAGTTTTTCATTGTTGCCTCCATAAAGATAACTCAGCCTTGAGCGTAGAGCTTATATGGTTAGATAAATCATTGCTATATATTTTGGCAGCTTCTAAAATAGTTCCCTCGTCATACTCATCAAAATGACTTGGAATCAAACCTTCGAGAGGGATAATACTAGATAGTCTATTATCAAACCGTGTATCCATTGATTGAATAAGAAAAGGAAGAAATATTGATCGTTTGAAATATATTTCAGCGTTTTCAGAATCAATATTTACTCTATTTATTTCTCTGTTACAAATTCGAAGCATGCGTATTTCAACATTAATTTTTTCTCCTAATTCTATAATATTTTTAAAAACTATACTAAATTAATTGTCTGCATATTCCCGAAGATTCTGTAATGCTCCTTTTATTACCATGACATCGGATATTGCTCTTAATAAGTCTTGTTGCATAGATTGTAAAGCAACACTAAGTTGTAATGTATAAGCAAGGCAAAGCACCGCAACATCAATAGCCACTAGAAATTCACTTTTAGTTATAAAATTTAAGTACAGTAATGCTTTACTTGAGGTTTCGGTGTTTGTATCATGTAGTATTCTTCAAGTGCATTAAGTATAAAAATATACAATTCTTTAAAATGTCATCAAGGAGTCATGGCGTTCAACCCAACGCATCTCGCACAATGTTTAAGTTTAGTCTTTCTCTGCTTGTTGGATTCTGTATTTGGAATTTCTGATTCTATAACAGATTTTAATTAGTCTACTCTTTTTGCAGAAGCAGAGAAAAAAGATGCAACAGCACCATTAATTCCCATCATTTGTTTTATTGAAGATACTTCGCACGCTTTAGTTATACATACATTAAGTGAATGACTGAAACAATGTGTATAAAATGCTAATGGCTGTTCGTTTAAAAGTAGAGCCTGAACACCATTGTTTTTGCCTGCTATGTTCGATCCACCATCATAGCTTTGACCTCTGAGATTATCTAAGCTAAGACCTAGTTTTTCTAACTTTTGTTTAATAGCATTTTTGATTGAAGCTCCCGTAGTAGAAATCATTTTGACGAAACCCAAAATTCTTTTTGAATGACACAATTTGTTAAATCTACATATTGAATACATACGGTCATTTGTTCTTCTGTACTTATATCGGTGGTTTCATCACACAAAATAGAATAAAACTTTGAAGATTTAATTCTTTCAACAATTTTTTTTTCAATTACACTGCCAATAGCTTCAATTACTTCATTTTGAATCTGAGGACTTATCATTGTACAGTTTTTAGGTACTGTTTTCAAATGATTCAATAAATCAGTATCACCACATTCAATTCTAAAAGCAAGAAGACCACGAAACACTCCTTGCTCACCATTTAAACAAACGTCTCTGATATCACCTCATGCCATGGAACCCATTTCCCGATGTCCACGTAATGGAATATTTTGTCGAACACAAAACAGTATAGTTTTAACTATTGACATCAATCTCTTATGTTTTTATTAAATTTTTGTTTGTTGTTTATGTTTATCTAGAAGCACATTTACTGATTTATTATTTGTATTTTCAAAATTAATTAAAAAGTCATTGGCACTTTGTGTGGACAAACAATGGTATTCATTCTTCTGATGATTTTGTAATTCCTTCATTGCATTTTTATACTTCACCATAGAATACTTAACTAATTTTCCGAGTTTCTATAAAAACAAATTATAAAGTTTATAAACTATAATATTCATATTATGGTGGAATAAGTTTAAGCAGAAAATAATTACTTGATGGCCAACACCACCTCCAGAAAACGTAAAAACTATACAATATTTACAATAAGCACCTTCTTTGCATTTACTATAAGCTAGCCATGGGAAAATTTTCAAATATTTGTGTAGAAATCTCCTTTTTTGTTTCCCTTCAATACATTCAGGAAAAACATAATTAGCAGGAGGTTTCTATCCAAGCGTCAAAATATAAAATTATTTATTTCTTTAGCATTTAGTTGCTGTTTCCAATAAAATTAGCAATATCATTAATGGGCCATGCAGATGCATCAACAACCTATTAAGTGAAAATTAATAAATAACAAGCATACAAGCAAATTTATGAATCTGAATATAAGATTGATTATAAAACTGTCAATATATATAAATATAAGATAAAATAATAATAATTATACACTAATACTAATTTTACACTTTACACTTATGACATGGCTTTAATCTAAATTAAAAACTACATTATTTTTACCGTTTCATTAATATTTTCATTAGTATCAGTTTCTTTAGAAATAGAATCATGCTCAATAGATTTAATGGTAATTGGTGTTGTTGGTGGTATATTCAGTTCCTTATTTTCAGCTTTATCAATCTAAATCTATATAAGTATATAAAAAAATATTTATTCTCATGATTTTATAGTGATATCAGATATATGGAATTACTCTGTATTTAATTTTCAAATTTTTAACATAAAAATTCTTTATAGGGAATTTATAATGAAGAAGAACATATTATTTAAGTTGGTTCATGCAATTTTATATTTGTACTTACTGGCTCAACTGAATAGACTTCTTGGAATTTTTTTTTCACATTAAATATTGAAAATACATTTTCCGTTTATCACTCATGTTTATATAATTTTAAATGCGTACCCACTATTCGCTACTCACCAGACACTACTCATCGGTCATTACGAAACACAAAAAAAAATGAATAAATAAATATAGTAAGAGTAACAGCAATGACCAATAAGCTATGTCTATTCGTAACAGTAACCGGCATATTTGATATAAATTATCGTTTTTTAAATGTTTATGTCAAATTATCATATCTTTATTATTGTATGTTTGTTTATTAACAATAATCAAAATATGGATTTTGCTTCATATTAGATAAGAACGTGATAGTAGTTATTGGTACAAGTGGTAAAACTGTAAAATGTTGGCTCCGAGGCAGGAGGCTCGTACAGACTATACATTAATTAACTGTGGATGTGTGACTAATTCACAATTAATCATGATAAGAAGAATGATAAGAGAAAGAATATTATAAAGATTGATATTTTCATTATAAATTATAATATATGGCTATAATGGCTAAAATAAACGCAGTCAATGGGGGGGGCTATAGCCCCCTTAGCCCCCCCCTGGCTACGCCACTGTAATCTAACAATGTTATTTTATTACTCATAGTGAATATACAATGTACATTTAGTACACGTACTATATTTAAAAAAAAATCTTTTATTTGATCAATGCGCTCTTTCAAGTACACGGCTTATATCGTGAAATTTCTATTTGAAAATTATCGGAAATCAAATTATTACATTTAAAAAAAAAGTATTTTATAGTTATTTTTAAAATGTGTTTTATATTATGTTTCATTTTAAAAAAGTTGTAACGGGCCAAGTTGATTACTTTCGAGGGCTACACGTGGCCCGTGGGCCGCGTGTTGGGCACCAATGATATCGACGATCTCGTGTATCAGTACTCATGGACAACGAATGACCAATATTTATAGATGACTACATTTTTATTACATTTCATTATTCGTACGCATGTGCGAAATTTCAAAAACATAAAATTTATTAGTTTTTTCTCACTTGAAAAAGTACTTTCCATCTTTGTACCCGAAAAACGGTACAGTGTACGTGAGCATCCAGATATTTCCACCACCACAATCGTAATACGGCTTGCTCCATTTACCATCTTCGTACGTTACGGTTAACACGTTGTCCGGTATTCGCTCCGTGTGGGCCGTATTGTTCCAGGTATAAGAGTTGAACGCTGAAAATCGAAACAGACAAACGTTAATTGATACGTGTTGGGTATTATTACCAAGCACGTTATCGGATATATTTATGAATGTATAAAATTGCGTGATCGAATCTATAGAGGCGAACGACTGAGACAAAGCCTATAATGAAACATCCGACCGATGATGTTCACGCCCAGACAGGATAGGTGACAGTACCACGGATGGCGGGAGCTTAGTTTGACGTACACAACTATCTACTAATACATAACGTACACGCCCGGTCGAAGGATTCCGTGGCGGATGTTGCGAGAGTGACTGATACGGTCTTACAAATGAACGCTTGTTCCCGGTGATGGCTGCTTGTCGGTACGGTGAATGGCTGTGGAGGGGTCAAAACACCCCCGCTGATGCTGCATGGCGCAGACAGTAGCAAGACTCTCGGATATACGGCCGTTTTAGCGGTTGGAGTAAAAGACACTGGAGGTAACCGGAAATGGACCGATGGAAGATAGGTAAGGTTAGGTTGGATTGGTATTCTCTTCCCCCAACGGAACCTACCTTGACGTAGTGGGGGGATCACCGGCCATTAACTTGATTGGTGTTAAGAGGTTCTTCCCGCGAATTGGCTATTTCCTCAACTGGTTGGGGCCAGAAAGGTTTAGTCTTGCTGCTAACACTAGCAAACGGACCCTGAAGTCAACAGTAAACCACCTGGCGGCAGGTTTAAAACACAAGATGGCTCAACATTACAAGGATTTTGTACCCCTGACCCAGACCCCAACGGATTCGGGGTGAAAGGCTATCATTAACTTTAATACTAGAAACACGGACACTGCTACAAAGGATTATGAAGATATCGGTGAGGTCATTTGGACAAATGGACGGATGCTACGTGCGATTTTCATCAAATCCAGAACGTGGTGACGGAGATGAACTCTTTCATGTGTGATAATAAAAATGTCCATAAGCCTATCAAGGACTGAATTGTGGAGTTAGTGGCCTTGACGGCAAATATGAAAACTAAGACAGAAATCGTTAAGGGGCCTCACCACCACGTCTTTTTTTAACAAAAACTGTTTCTAATTCCAACGCTACGTGTCAAAAATTATCACGATTTTTTATTCTGAAAAAATATTCGGATGCTCCGTAATATTTACGAGGGAACGATCGAGCCACATTCTTAATTTTTGTAGTTTGAATTGCAATAAATATTGTTGTAAATACAAAAAATACAAAATTTCAAACTTAAATATTTAATTAACTAAATACAATTTTTAAAATGTGCCTCTATCGATCCCTCGTACATATTAAGGAGCATCCAAATATTTTTTCAAAATGAAAATCGTGATAATTGTCGACACATAGCGTTGGAATTAAAAACGTATGTTGGAATGAAAAATAAACATTTTTTTGCGATCACGATATTACCAGATGACATGTGCGTGCGAGTGCGTGCGAGAGCCCCCCCCGTACCGCTATCGCACCGCGTCTAGCTAAATAAACCTAAACAGTGTAATATAATTGGATACGTTATTTCGTGGTATTCTATAATAATGTTAGCAATTACTTATATTTCCGCGCCCTGATATTAATATTATACACCTACATTAGATGTTATTATAATTTATTATCGTTCTGTATTTCAATTTTGAATTGATTATTTAGTCACTATTCAGCTTTCTTTCTGTAAAGGCTATTTAGTTATTGTAATAAGAAAAATTTTAATTTTACCTAAATAATATTATTTTATTACAATATTATAATAATTAAAAAATAAGTACGTAATTGTAATAATCAACAATTTATTGTATGAACTGCACTAACAGAAAATGTCGTAATTATTACCCTCACTGATTGTTTATTTATTATGTATACTGTTTCTATGACTAATAATACTACATTATAATGACAATAGTTGATGTTAAACTACCTATGTCCTAAACTCCTAAACTATATTATACTAATGCAATAATACTTGAACTATTCATCAAAATATACACAATATACCTATCTATATTATCTGGCAAAAAAAAAATAATAATAATCTAAAATTCTTCTTGATTTTTTATATTATATATTATGGGTCCACATATAAACTTAGAATTTAGAATTCTGGACCGCATAAATCTAAACTGTACATATCTGGAAAGTACATTATCTGGACCGTATGAATCTGGATACGATTACGCATGTATTGGCACTCGTCGCTACACTTCGCAAATCGAAAATATTCCTTGGCTTGTTACGCAAAACCACTTCAAGTAGGTAACAGGGACAAAATAAACGTGGATATGCAGATATATATATCCAGATTTGTACGGTCCAGATAATCTATACCAATAATAACTATACAAATTATTTTACACTGCGGACTATATTATTATTTTTCTCAATTCATAGTATAATAAGTTATAACTAATGAACCAAATTCTCCGAAGCCATTCAACACGTGAGTACGGGACACCAATTATAATAATATGATTATGACTAGTGACTACCTGACGGTATGGAAGGGAGAGAGGTACCCCCATTGAATTGTACTCACACTAACAATCATTTACAACTAACACAAATATCCCGGACGGCTACGACGAGATTAGAAATTGCCTATATGTTGCCCCTTAAATAATAGCAGCAACGAGGCCCCTTAAGGAGAAATGCAAATCAGCGTCGCAGGTCTTAGGAAAGCTGCACCACATCGCGACCGGGCACGCTGAGATTTCGCTCAGGGTAATGGAAAATAGCGTTATCCTTCCTCCTGTAGCAAGCAGCTTCTCCGAACATCCCCTTTGGTGTGTGAGGAAGAAGGCAAAAAAAAAAAAAAGTTGGGTTGGTATTAATAAGGCCCTCGACCCGACCAAGATTACCATCGGGACACGAAACCCGCGGGCTCGTAGTACGGAGCCATCATCGCTGAGGGGCATGATACCCCAGGGATAGTGGTCCCCTTTGACGTTCTGGTGTACGTGATAGATGTTACGTGAACGTTGTAGGTGAGCACATGTACGTAAACCAAGAAACCCGCAGAGGAGGTATGCTAAAATTACGAATTCGATGAGATCTTTTGATGAAACTCGCATAGTAAACGAATATTTTTTTTTTCGTTTTATTCGAATCATTATACTATCTAACGTGTTGTATGACTGAAGCGTTCAATATATGTATTTTGCATGGGAGTTTTTTTTTTTTTTCGAGATATAATAGCTTAATGTTGAGACTATTTTAAATCAACGATATTATGGTTTGTTTGGACCAACATCATTAATTTTACAAAAAAGGTTAACTAAACGATTTTTATTCGTATAAATATTTCTATAGATCAACAATAATATTGTGTACAATAATTCATGCTACGATTTATATAATATACAAAACCAATAAAAGAATCTAAAGAATATTATATGAGAGATGAAAATTTATATATACTAATATGTATGTATATTTTTTTCAATCCATTTCAAAAATTCTCACCCTTGACTAATATCATTGATTTTATAATATAAAATAAAATAAATATCAATGCTAATATTGTTATTTTATAAACAAATTTAGTATATTTTACGACGAAAAATGACAATATATTTCTTTATTATTGACATGGGTCAAAGGGCATTTTCAGGGCTGGATCAAGGGGGGGGCTTTGGGGGGCTATAGCCCCGGGCCGCAAGTTGAAAGGGGCCACAGTGTGTCAACTCATTTTTTTTCAAAATATTATTATAACTTATAAATTTTAAATTTATGTCATATGAAAATGGACTATGGACTTGGATACTTCATTACCGACACACAAGACCCAATTATAGTTATAGTGGTCGTCGCTTCTTGCAACTCGTTATCGTCGTTATCGAACGGGTTTCCGGCCGATCCGTCAACGCGATAAATATAATCGGTTTAATTTATTTTTAAACCTAGAACATTACACGTTCGATGAATGACACTCACGTACTTTTGCAGCCGTAGGTGCAGTACTGATTATGTTAGCTGAGACCGCAGACGCTAGCTTGAGATTTCCGATTGTTTATTACTTTATTATCATATAATATTTAAAGCTCCTTTTATAACATTATAAATTTATTGAATTTATCTATCAAGTGTGATTTAATAATCATGTCTTTCCGAAAACATGAATCTGGTGCTTCAAAACGAAGAGCTCTGAAAATTAGAAATGAGTACGAAGCCAAAATTCCTAAATTGTCAAATTTCTTTCAACCAATTGAAAATCCTGCATTTGAGACAAAAATGAAAAAAACCGTCGGCGAAATTGATACAAACACTGATAAAGTAAATTTAACATAATTAAATTAAAATATTTATTTTAAATATTAATACTATTTAATATCATATAAATAGAAAATATTGACGGAGTTGGAAATAAATAAAGATCCTGCATTGTGGCCGTCAATGAGTGAAACCGTCCGAGAAAAATGTATACTATTAGGACCGGCATATTTCCAAAATAAAAACAACGGATTTTCAGCTTCCTTACGAGATTATAAAAACCAAAAAAGGTATTTTTCTTGTAATTTTTTTATACGAACTTTGGTGAATGGAGAGAAACACGAACGATTATGGTTGATGTACTCTGAATCAACAGGGAACGTATTTTGTTTTGTCTGTATGTTATTCAATAGTAATAGTTCAATGAATCCTTTTGTAAAAAATGGATTTTCAAATTGGAAGAAGGGCGATGAAAGAATTAGTGGTCATGAAAACAGTTCTGTACACCAGGTATGCACGATGAAATGGATTCATCGTTTGAATAATAAAACAAATATTAATAAACAGTTAACGAAACAATTAGAAGTAGAAGAAAATTATTGGATCGATATTTTAAAACGCGTTGTTGAAGCTATTCGTTTTCTTTCGACACGAGGTCTTGCATTTCGAGGTAGTCATGAAGTGATTGGAGTTACGGATAATGGTAATTATTTAGGAATACTTGAGTTGATTGCTAAATTTGATCCTGTGTTGAAAGCACACATAGAAAATTATGGTAACAAAGGCAGGGGCAGTGTGTCTTACATATCAA